ACCATACCTTACCATACCTTACCTTACCATACCTTACCCTACCTTACCTACCATACCTTACCTTACCAGACCATACCATACCTTACCTTACCCGTATCCACCTCAATACCTTAACCCACCCTTAAACCTCACCTACCACACCAGCTAACCTGTGCTAACCTCACCACACCATACCTTACCATACCTTATCCTACCATACCTTACCTTACCTTACCCTACTATACCTTACCTACCATACCTTACCTAACCTTACCATACCATACCTTACCTTACCGTACCTTACCTTACCAGACCATACCATACCTTACCTTACCCGTATCCACCTCAATTCCTTAACCCTCCCTTAAACCTCACCTACAACACCAGCTAACCTGTGCTAACCTCACCATACTATATTACCTTACCTTACCTTAGCCGTATCCACCTCAATACCTTAACCCACCCTTAAAACTAACCTATCACACCAGCTAACCTGTGCTAACCTCACCACACCATACCTTACCATACATTACCCGTATCCATCTCAATATCTTAACCCACCCTTGAACCTCACCTATCACACCAGCTAACCTTACCAATACCATAACCCAGCCTTAAACCTCACCTCCCCGCACCAGCAAACCTGTGCTAACCTCACCATACCATACCTTACCATACCTTACCCATATCCACCTCAATATCTTAACCCACCCTTAAACATACCCTACCACTCCCGCTAACCTGTGCTTACCTTACTTTACCCGTATCCACCTCAATATCTTAACCCACCCTAAAACAACCCCTACCACACCCGCTAACTTGTGCTACCTTACCATACCATACCTTACCATGCCTTACCTTACCTTACCTTACCCTCTCCGTATCCATCTCAATACCTGAACCCAGCTTTAAACCTCACCTACCACACCAGCTAACCTGTGCTAACCTTACCATACCTTACCTTACTGTATCCACCTCAATACCTTAACCCAGCCTTAAATACTACCCACCCAATACCAGCACCAGTCCATTGTACCAAACTTTTGTTTTATTTTAACAAAGCAAGAGTTATAGAATAAAAATGGTACCAGTTTTACCAGTCAATGAAAGCTTTAGCGTTAAGTTCTGCCAGGAAGACTCAATTAGTGCGTTACATATACCTGACTTCTATCCAATCATGTGCCAACACTCACAGTATAAAAGATTGGTACTTACATTTGTCTGATGGTCCCTTCCTTTACTGTCGGCTGCGCCCCTGCCTTCATCTTCAGGCAAGACATGCAGATTCTGCTACCCTCACATTGCTCACTAAGGACGTTGCCTACGCCAAAGAACTTTATAAATTCATGCTTGCCGAGCTGTTAATAAGTTTGTGTGTACTTATAGCCCTGTATTTCAGGCCTCAGTTGTCCGTTCTTGATGTTGTTATGCAAATGGTTTGGTTTCTGCGTTTCTTGCTCTCTTGCATATCGCCCCAGCATATCGTTATTCGGGTTTGTGTTGTTTTTGTTCACTGCTAAAAAGTCACTGCTAAGGCCCTGTCCCAAATGACACACTTCATATGCACTTTCAGTCTTGTGGACTTACAATGGCTGATGTTTGCATGTGTTCGTTAAGTCCATGAGAGCATAGGGTGTCTCATTTGTCATTTTAGGTTTCAGAAGGGTGCCCGCGAGTGTCCCGTTTGAGGTCGATATGCACCCGCACTGAAGCAAGCTCCACATCAGACTTCTTCCCAACAGTCAATGCACCGTTATGTCACAGAAGATCTATGTTATACTGTTATTTAAGCAAAACAAACTCGATATAGCCATACGCTGGGGCACTGGAGAACCAAACTAATGAAAACAACAAGAACAAGAATGAACTAAACACTGCAGCACAAGGCTATAATTACACATACAAAATGAGGGGTAAAACAAGGAACAGGAACACTTTTATGCGTTTTGGCAGTTCATTTACTTTGATGATGATACCGTTATCGTATTCTTTTAAACTACAAAAACGGTGACGCATGGTTTCATGGATCTCTGAGAAGGGAATGAGTCCGAAGACACTTGCCTGCAACAGCCCATGATGTCACTGTAGTGTGACCGGGAGTACAGACGGGCATCTAGAGCTCACGTCATCAGCCTGTAGGAGACGTGACCAGGGGCCTCATTTATAAATGTTGCGTACGCACAAAAGAAGGCGTACGCTGCTCTCTACGCCAGGGGTTCTCAACTCCAGGCCTCGCGACCCACTGCTCTGCATATTGTGTATGTCTCCCTTACTTAACAAACCTGATTCAGATCCTCAGCTCATTAAGATAGACTCTACGGCTATCCTAACGAGCTGAGGATCTGAATCAGGTGTGTTAAATAAGGGAGACATACACAATATGCAGAGCAGTGGGTCGCAAGGACTGGAGTTGAGAACCCCTGCTCTACGCAATAGTTGGTATTTATAAAAAACAAACTTGACGGTAAAATGTGCGGTCCTTCATGCAAGCTCTGACCCAGGCGTACGCACAAAAACGGGTGAAATGAGAAATGGCGACACCGTTGGCAGGTGGAAAAAACACGTGAACGTGTGTGAAACTGTAGACCGTTGTGTAAAATAAATGGCAATACTGCCTCTCATAAAGAACACGAAGACTTCACAAAGCAAGTCTTAACAGCTTACAATTAACAGCCTACACGAACACCCGTTTGATCGATCTGTAACAGAAATGCAAATTAACACATATTTCCAAAAAGAAAGAGAGATATTTTCTGCTATAATATTGGTATGCAATTCCTCATAAATAAGATGTTAAACAGAACGAAATAATGTACAAAACTGATATTCTCGCCAATATGTCCGTCTAACGGAGCAGATATAGATAGTCAATCAGATAGGGAGATATATAGATAGATCGATAAATATTATTTGTCCACTGGGGGAAGTTGTTTTCATCGTAAAAATATCTTCATAATCTACGGAATCATGGTATTCATGCATATGCCTTTAGTTTGTTTTATTTTTGATAAAATAACGTATGACGTATGTCTCAACCATTCAGAAAGCTGCAAGAAATTACATTTGCGTTGAACTATTTCCCATTTCCAAGTAGATTATAACCGACATCTGTAGCTTGTCAGATGCAGAATTAAATGGATGTAAATAAAATGCCCCTTCACAATGCGTATAATGACGCACAATGGCTGATCTTGCGCTCTTAGAAGATGTGGCGATTAAGGATTCGGAGTGAACGCATCATCTTCACAACAAAAGGTGCGGAAAAATATATTATTTATTCAAGAATTCCCTCATTGTGCAGTTTATTTCAGTTAGGACAGTCTTGATTTCGCCCCACTCCTTGGCCACCTCTCTAATTGAATTAATGACTAGACACTTTTTTGCCTCTGATGTCCGACCATTTCTTTTTTATTTCGGCCACAGTCCGAGGTTGTGAGGCTACAGCATTTACGGCGTCTGCAACCTTTTGCCACTCATTAGTAATGCCCACACTGTGCCCTCCAAACAACATTTTCTCCTCTTTTCCACCTCGCCAACGATAACTTTTACTTCACATTGAGTGAAGTTACATTTTTTTATTTCCTCTCTGTGTTTAACATGATTTCGCAATTCATGAATATTAACTTGTGGGCGTTTCACGGACTATTTATGGGCAACTATGGGCGTGACATGAAGCCGCAAAAGCTGCGCTACATTTAGAACTAATTGTGATTTATGAAGGGAAAAATGCGTAGGATGTGCGTGCGCACGGTTTTATAAATCCGAATATTTCTGTGCGTACGCACGTCCTATGTTTCATCCGTACGCCACTTCTGACGCAAATCCTACGCAAAGTTTTATAAATGAGGCCCCAGGTACACCTGAAGCAGCGAAGACACTAAGGGGAGCGAGTACCCACTCTGCCATGCTGAGGCAATAATGATCTAAATGGAGGAAGAACCCTTAGCGGGCGAGCGAACAGAGCCAGGGCAGAGCCCAAGGTCTGGTGATGCCAGTCTCCCTGACAGGCATTACACTAAGGGCAAAGAAGAAATGAAGTTCTTCTCACCGGTCACTACATCTGGTTTAACCCCTCAGAAACCCCAGGGGAGCTTAAACCCTGACTGACTCGAAGTCTCTGGGCCAATATTATCTAATAGGTCCTGAGAAGAATCTAATCAAAGACCGTTCACCAAGGCGGCCCAAGACGGCAGACGGACTCTCTGAAGCGAGAGGAGGCCAACAAAACTCGACGTTCGATCCTGCTTACAAATCAACAAATTGCAAAAATCACAGCGCCCTCATCACACAACGTCATCCCTCTGGAGTTAAGTGCACTATTTTGTGTTTTTATACACTTCTTTTGGACGCAGTGTAAGCTCCCATTGGAAAGGGAATGTGAATTTGTGAAAGAGGACGTCATGTTACATCTACAGGTGCGTAGTGTCTCTTTACACATCGCCAACTACTGGCCTGGCAGCAGAATACAGAATGAAGAGCAAACACAGAATACAAACGATTTTTAATTGTTTTCGTGGATCAGTGTGAACGGGGAAGCGTTGTGACATTGTTGTCATGTAAATGCACTCTAAATCAAATAAATTAAATACAAAGAATCTAAATAAACAAAACGTGGCAATATCTCACTTCTTCAGTTTTATTTTAAGTAATTTTACAGCTCCATTTGTTGATTTTAATGTTGCATTTGATTCGAATAATAACTACTTTTCATCAACTCATGAAGCCCTGTAGTTCCCGCACAAACCCTCATTTGGGAAACCCATTTAAATTATATTTTATATATACCTTGATATATTTACATTTACTAAAAAGCTACAACCCCTAATGAATGTAAGCAATAATTAGTATGACATGTAATGAGAGTCCTGTATTGAAAGTCACTTTTGCTGTGGCATGTATATACACATGTCTAATGTGCTCTGGGCAGATAGTGTTATCCCCCGCTCACACAACCCCCACCCCCCGTGACGATCACATGACCCTGACATGATCCCAGGGCTCTCATTGGACAAGACAATATCAGACATGGGGAAAACATTTCCAGTGGTTTAAGGTTTACAGCACCAGTTTTTCCCATTATAACATACAGGAACGCTTGAAAGAAGACACGTGGATGTTCCCCTCCGCTCCGCCTACAGCCAAGATGATTATCAGACAGCCTCACACATGCGGAAAGGTAAGTCTCACAGCCCTTATGCAGACATACGTCTGCCTATTTACACTTTTTTACAGTGTGACTTAAGTGTTCAAATAAGGTACAGTATGTTGTTGTAGTTAGGAGTGCTGTTGCTGTTTCACTTATACTCATATATCCATGAAAATGACAATTTAGTATATATTCACATCAGCATTTATAACTGTATGCACTTCCTTTTTATCATCATTTCATGAATTAGTTTGATAACAGTTTCAGCCCAATATCTGTAATTATATACTAACATCACATTCTCACTAAATTAATAATAAAAGCATTTTAAAATGAGTCTGATTTGAAGTCTTATTGATAATATACCATAAAATGCTCTTCTTACAGCTAATGTCTGACTGAATGTGGTCAGATGACATTGAGAGGCCTGTGGACAAACATTAGATGACATTAACACGAGCTGGTGTTAGAGCTGCGATCCTCTCATATGATTGGTAGGTGAAATCAACTAAATCAAACATTAAACCGCATGCAAGTGTAACCCCTCCACCCGGGTCCCACTCGCCCCGCTCCGAGCGGGCCTCGAACCCGGGTCTCCGGCGTGAGAGTCGGGCTCTCTAACGAGGAGGCTAAAGACTGCAGCCTCTAACGTCTGTCGCTAAAGCGCCTATTGAGATCAGGGGAGTGAGGTTTACTCGCACAGCAACTACTAGCTGGCCTCTGTTACACAAGTTCACAAGCTTTTCCCCTCACCGCCGGCATGGTGCTGGGATACTTTAAGAACTGTAAACGCCTTGATTTCATATTTTTTCTGTTCTTCTTGTTTCTCTTGCCTTCAGTGATTCTGCTTGTTAACAGCAGACGTTCATCAGTATGTGAATTAACTTTGAAATATAACTGAATTAAAGGGTTAGTTCACCCAAAAATGAAAATTAAGTCATTAATTACTCACCCCCATGCTGTACCAACCCCGTAAGACCTTCGTTCGTCTTCGGAACACAAATGAAGATATTTTTGATTAAATTTGAGAGCTGTATAACTACCACATTGGCTCCTAAGGGACTGGCTCTTGATGGCCCAGAAAGTCAATGAAGAAAATGTTTAAATATTCAATATTATGTGACTACAGCGGCTCAACTATAAGTTTATCAAGTGACGAGAATACTTTTTGTGCGAAAAAACTAACAAAAATAACGACTTTATTCGACTATTGAGGAAATCTCTTGAAGTCGTGGAAATCGTATGGAAGTCTCGTTTCAGGCCAACAAGGAAGAAAAGGAATAGTCGAATAAAGTCGTTATTTTTGTTTGTTTTTTCGCACAAAAAGTATTCTCGTCGCTTGATAAACTTATAGTCGAGCCGCTGTAGACACATGGGATATTTAAACATTTTCTTCAATGACTTTCTGGGCCGTCAAGAGCCAGTCCCTTAGGCAGTCTATGTGGTAGTTATACAGCTCTCAGATTCAATCAAAAATATCTTCATTTGTGTTCTGAAGATGAACGAAGGTCGTACAGGGTTGGTACAGCATGGGGGTGAGTAATTAATGACTTAATTTTCATTTTTGGGTGAACTAACCCTTTAACTATGGAATTATTCACTTCGTCAAGTGGACCATATAGTGAGGTAATGTAGGGAATAGTGACTGAGGGTATGGGTGTGATTGGGAGCACAGCCACTGACTGTCGACTCTGATCAATGTTAATTCACAGATTAGGCTACTTTCTCGAAAACTACATATATCACCCAGAATGCATTTTTTTCTACGATATATTGCTGTTTTACTGGTTACTGTCAAAATTTGGCCGTTCTTTTACAGCAATTTTCATCAGTGTGTTGTCAGTAAATATGAGGTTATGAACCCAAAGACAAATGAATGTCTGAAACTACTCAAGACTTGTAGGATTTTAGGAACATTAGTTGGAATAATCTTAATGAATTTGAATATGTCCACATCTGAAGATGTGTGTGTTTCCTCCACAGACGGGATGCTGTTTTCTCTGGTCTTGAGCTCCGTGTTGGCACACGTCCGCTGTGACTCCTGTCGGTGCACGGCTGTCCCGTATGAAGGTGTGCGTGTGAACTGCAGCTCGCAGGGCCTGAGAACGCTCCCTTTGCTTCATGCCAGCACCACAGATCTCCTCCTGCAGGATAACCTCCTCACGGCCGTGTCTCCAGGGCACTTCGACTCGCTCACCGGCCTGCAGCTGCTCAATCTCTCCGGGAACCCCTTCCACTGCGACTGCAGGATCCTGTACCTAAGGCATTGGCTTCAGAGGAATAGAGCGGTCTCTGGGAGTCCGGTGTGTGCCAGTCCTCCAGAACTGGCCCACAGGTCCATCGCTGAGCTCACGGACGCCGACCTGCGCTCCTGCGCCTCCGAGTCCTGCTCCGAGTGGCTCTATAACACCACCGTGTGCTCAATGCTCTGCTTTCTCATTGGTCTGCTGCTGTGGTGCGTGCGACTCGCAAGAAACTCGACCTTTATTCTGGGCATTGATGAGAGACACTCTGGATTTGAGGCCGAATCTCTGCGATCGCTCAAACCCAAGCACAGGGCGAGGGTGAGGTACAGTATTGGGGATGACATGGACAAGCCTTTACTCAACATGGACATCCTCCCTCAGATACTGGACGTTCTGCACAAGCAACACAACATTAAGATTAAAGTACCATGAGAAGCTGAACTCCACACTAATCTCTTCGCCTGCTTGTGTGCAGTGGGATACTGCAACTGTGCTTTGATGTGATTTGTAGCCTGGACTGAGATGTTAGAAATCGTAAATCCTGTCAGTTACTTACACTTTTGCTCTGTAAGGTGGATTTTAGTGTGCTGCGGTAAAAAAGAAAACAGCCTCTGATGAAATAAACATTAACTAGGACAGGAAAATGTATTTTATATTTGCTATTTGCCATGAAAACAAGTACTAATATAACTATAACTCAAAAAAATATATACATTTATTTTATTAATGAAAAAACATAAAATAACATCAACACAAAAAAACCCCAATGAAATTAAAAATAATTCAATGATAATTTTAAAAAAAAATAGCAAATAGAAAAATAAAAAGCTATAATAATATTGTTAGATTTATAGACTAGTTTTGGCAACTAGAGGCCCTCAGTATTTCATTTCAGTTTCCCGCCATTTTATCATGTGCTATTGTTCTCACCTGTGCCTCATTTCCTGTGAGTGTGTTTAAGTTGCTTTGTTCCTCTCGATGTTTGTAATCTTGAGATCAACCTCTCCAGTCTTTTGGTAAATTCCTCTTGTGGTTTTCTCTGGATTTATTCGCTCTGTTTGATTATCTTATTTTTTCCCATGGATTTTTTGGTTTTACCATTTAGACTAGACAGATTTCAGATCCTGTTGCTTCTACATGTTGTCATCTCTTCCTGAGTCCATCGTCAGACTCTGGTTTGAACGTAAAAGGCCGAACAGTTTCTGACATTTTAGTGCTTGTGTGTGTGTGTGAGGTAATCGGAGCTACTGATACACAAGCTCTTGAAGCTCCGCCCTCTGTGCCGGAGGCAGCAGCTCATTTGCATTTAAAGAGACACACAAAAACAACGCAAATCTTTGCTCACCCTCAAAAGTGACAATATTAAAAGCTATAAAAATCTGGGGGCTATTTTGAGCTAAAGTTTCACATACACAGTCTGGGCATATCAGAGACTTATTTTACATCCGAAGGAGCATTATAGGACCCCTTTAATGTAGGCTACTACTATCTATGTAAACAAGTAAAAAAAAAAACAGGTCAAATATTCGGTGTGGGATCACATTAAAAATTTTATCTGTAGAGGCAGAAAACAGTGCAATAAAATAATACAAACATCTCCCTCAATTTTCAATTTCTTTTAAACTGTTAGATCCCTTATGTTCCCCTCATAAACCCCTCTTTTCCATTTCTCTGGTCAGGGTGCCGTACTGAGCCCCGACTCCTGAGCCTCCAAGAGAAATAATAATCCAACACCCATACTTGGGCTGGACACAAGAGCTACGAACAACAGATGCACTCTGTCCAGCCAGATCAAGACAATTACGTGATCCAATCCAATATAAATTGATTGCTGCTTCACAATATCATAAAACAATAAAATAAAACATTGCGCTTTTCTAAGCGTGTAAAGTGGATAACTATATTGTATGGCGGAATACCACAGCAAGTGCTTGGGAGCACTTCGACTTGGAGCATATTTATCTATGGAGTAATATCATAACTCTGGAGAGGGAGAGGGGGGAGAGGACTTTTCACAAGTGATGATATTACTGCGCTGAGTCCATAGATAAATATGCACTGATGCGAAGTGGTCCTAAGCACTCTGGGAGTCCAGACGTAGAGAAGAGCCGATACTGAGGGACTCCAGATGAAGAGAAGAGCTGATACTGAGGGACTCTGGGAATCCAGATGAAGAGAAGAGCCGATACTGAGGGACTCCAGATGAAGAGAAGAGCCGATACTGAGGGACTCTGGGAATCCAGATGAAGAGAAGAGCCGATACTGAGGGACTCCAGATGAAGAGAAGAGCCGATACTGAGGGACTCTGGGAATCCAGATGAAGAGAAGAGCCGATACTGAGGGACTCTGGGAATCCAGATGAAGAGAAGAGCCGATACTGAGGGACTCCAGATGAAGAGAAGAGCCGATACTGAGGGACTCTGGGAATCCAGATGAAGAGAAGAGCTGATACTGAGGGACTCTGGGAATCCAGATGAAGAGAAGAGCCGATACTGAGGGACTCCAGATGAAGAGAAGAGCCGATACTGAGGGACTCTGGGAATCCAGATGAAGAGAAGAGCCGATACTGAGGGACTCCAGATGAAGAGAAGAGCCGATACTGAGGGACTCCAGATGAAGAGAAGAGCCGATACTGACGGACTCCAGATGAAGAGAAGAGCCGATACTGAGGGACTCTGGGAGTCCAGATGAAGAGAAGAGCCGATACTGACGGACTCCAGATGAAGAGAAGAGCCGATACTGAGGGACTCCAGATGTAGAGAAGAGCCGATACTGAGGGACTCTGGGAATCCAGATGAAGAGAAGAGCCGATACTGACGGACTCCAGATGTAGAGAAGAGCCGATACTGAGGGACTCTGGGAGTCCAGATGAAGAGAAGAGCCGATACTGAGGGACTCCAGATGTAGAGAAGAGCCGATACTGAGGGACTCTGGGAATCCAGATGAAGAGAAGAGCCGATACTGAGGGACTCCAGATGTAGAGAAGAGCCGATACTGAGGGACTCTGGGAGTCCAGATGAAGAGAAGAGCCGATACTGACGGACTCCAGATGAAGAGAAGAGCCGATACTGAGGGACTCCAGATGTAGAGAAGAGCCGATACTGAGGGACTCTGGGAATCCAGATGAAGAGAAGAGCCGATACTGACGGACTCCAGATGAAGAGAAGAGCCGATACTGAGGGACTCCAGATGTAGAGAAGAGCCGATACTGAGGGACTCTGGGAATCCAGATGAAGAGAAGAGCCGATACTGAGGGACTCCAGATGTAGAGAAGAGCCGATACTGAGGGACTCTGGGAGTCCAGATGAAGAGAAGAGCCGATACTGACGGACTCCAGATGAAGAGAAGAGCCGATACTGAGGGACTCCAGATGTAGAGAAGAGCCGATACTGAGGGACTCTGGAATCCAGATGAAGAGAAGAGCCGATACTGACGGACTCCAGATGAAGAGAAGAGCCGATACTGAGGGACTCTGGGAATCCAGATGAAGAGAAGAGCCGATACTGACGGACTCCAGATGAAGAGAAGAGCCGATACTGACGGACTCCAGATGAAGAGAAGAGCCGATACTGAGGGACTCCAGATGTAGAGAAGAGCCGATACTGAGGGACTCCAGATGTAGAGAAGAGCCGATACTGAGGGACTCTGGGAATCCAGATGAAGAGAAGAGCCGATACTGAGGGACTCCAGATGTAGAGAAGAGCCGATACTGAGGGACTCTGGGAGTCCAGATGAAGAGAAGAGCCGATACTGACGGACTCCAGATGAAGAGAAGAGCCGATACTGAGGGACTCCAGATGTAGAGAAGAGCCGATACTGAGGGACTCTGGGAATCCAGATGAAGAGAAGAGCGATACTGACGGACTCCAGATGAAGAGAAGAGCCGATACTGAGGGACTCTGGGAATCCAGATGAAGAGAAGAGCCGATACTGACGGACTCCAGATGAAGAGAAGAGCCGATACTGAGGGACTCCAGATGTAGAGAAGAGCCGATACTGAGGGACTCCAGATGTAGAGAAGAGCCGATACTGAGGGACTCCAGATGTAGAGAAGAGCCGATACTGAGGGACTCTGGGAATCCAGATGAAGAGAAGAGCCGATACTGAGGGACTCCAGATGAAGAGAAGAGCCGATACTGAGGGACTCCAGATGTAGAGAAGAGCCGATACTGAGGGACTCTGGGAATCCAGATGAAGAGAAGAGCCGATACTGAGGGACTCCAGATGAAGAGAAGAGCCGATACTGACGGACTCCAGATGTAGAGAAGAGCCGATACTGAGGGACTCTGGGAGTCCAGATGTAGAGAAGAGCCGATACTGACGGACTCCAGATGTAGAGAAGGGCCGATACTGACGGACTCCAGATGAAGAGAAGAGCCGATACTGACGGACTCCAGATGAAGAGAAGAGCCGATACTGAAGGACTCCAGATGAAGAGAAGAGCCGATACTGAGGGACTCCAGATGTAGAGAAGAGCCGATACTGACGGACTCCAGATGAAGAGAAGAGCCGATACTGACGGACTCCAGATGAAGAGAAGAGCCGATACTGACGGACTCCAGATGAAGAGAAGGGCCGATACTGACGGACTCCAGATGAAGAGAAGAGCCGATACTGACGGACTCCAGATGAAGAGAAGAGCCGATACTGACGGACTCCAGATGAAGAGAAGAGCCGATACTGAGGGACTCCAGATGTAGAGAAGAGCCGATACTGACGGACTCCAGATGAAGAGAAGAGCCGATACTGACGGACTCCAGATGAAGAGAAGAGCCGATACTGACGGACTCCAGATGAAGAGAAGAGCCGATACTGAGGGACTCCAGATGTAGAGAAGAGCCGATACTGAGGGACTCTGGGAATCCAGATGAAGAGAAGAGCCGATACTGACGGACTCCAGATGAAGAGAAGAGCCGATACTGACGGACTCCAGATGAAGAGAAGAGCCGATACTGAGGGACTCTGGGAATCCAGATGAAGAGAAGAGCCGATACTGACGGACTCCAGATGTAGAGAAGAGCCGATACTGACGGACTCCAGATGAAGAGAAGAGCCGATACTGACGGACTCCAGATGAAGAGAAGAGCCGATACTGACGAACTCCAGATGTAGAGAAGAGCGATACTGACGGACTCCAGATGAAGAGAAGAGCCGATACTGACGGACTCCAGATGAAGAGAAGAGCCGATACTGAGGGACTCTGGGAGTCCAGATGTAGAGAAGAGCCGATACTGAGGGACTCCAGATGAAGAGAAGAGCCGATACTGAGGGACTCCAGATGAAGAGAAGAGCCGATACTGACGGACTCCAGATGAAGAGAAGAGCCGATACTGAGGGACTCCAGATGTAGAGAAGAGCCGATACTGAGGGACTCTGGGAATCCAGATGAAGAGAAGAGCCGATACTGACGGACTCCAGATGAAGAGAAGAGCCGATACTGACGGACTCCAGATGTAGAGAAGAGCCGATACTGATGGACTCTGCAGAGTTCAAGCACACTCAGACAAAAACAACAATAAATCACAATACAAAAATCCCACAATATGTGTTATGGGTATTCATCCAAAATATAATTTCTGTGTGAGAAAAAGTTGAGTGTGAGTACTACATTGAACTACTGTAAATAATGTTGAATATAATGAATAATGCAATGGGGAATATCTGTGGGTCCAGATAAAGCCAAGCGTCCGATGTTACCACTGAAAAGTGGCCTACATTATTATAAATATACAGTATCTAGTCAGTGAAAGAGTGTATGCTTATTCACCTAAATTCAGCTTCAGAATCATGAATATTGTTACTCTGGTGTCTCTTATTGTCCTGTGCTTTGGCTTTCAGCAAGTCCAAGTCCATTTACTTTTTGTTCATTTATTTTTTTGCCTGTATGTCACTTAGCAACTCAATATATAATCACAATGTTTTATTTAAAATATTTCTTTATTGATTAGATTTTCTTATTTATACTTCACTGTTGTTCTTGTCTGCATGTTCTATGTGAATGTACACTGACGATCACTGCAGTTGTGCAATGACGATCACAAACGTATAACTCTACTACCAATTTTAGCATTTCAAAAGTACGTTTTTGTTAACCTTTTATCACATCTTGGAGTACCGCAATATCAAATCATGACAAGGGTATTGTTACACCTCTATTAAACCTTTCAGTGTATGTCATCTACTGAACGGGTCAATCGTGTCTGACGAGATTGAAAAATCATTGTTTTTTTACAAACTTGAGAAATGAAAGTTGCTTGTGAAATCTGAGAGCTAACAGAGGGCTCAAAGGAGCGCTAGATGACATGAATGAATGCAGACGGACTCCCCATCCTCCTCCAGCTTTATTGACAGTTTAAAATTACACATCTATGCTCTAGGACTTAAGTTGCAATTTCCTCCGACTTAAAAACTGAGTACAAGCACTGATATTCTTACAGTAGTCCAAGTGATATTGTACAAAAATATCTGATTTCTGTGAAAACATTCTTTTTGCAAATTGTTGCTAATTCCACGT